CTATGAAAAAGACTTTTTCTTTACAGATCAAGAAACTGAGCCTGGAGTGGTTGGTTCATCAACTTACATAAGGCACAGAGCTGTGAGGCCTAGGACGCAAAGGTACACAAGCTGACTCCACAGTCAGCTCTGCTGATCTGCCTCTTCTGTCCCTCAGTTACATGGTCATGAACCCTCATTTATACAGTGAGCTCTAGATTAAAGAAATTGGACACATACTCTGGGATCAGACAGTGGTGCAGCAGTAAAACATGATACTCTGCGAGGCAGCCATACAGAAAGACTACCAGTTCACATCGAGACCTCCCTGAGCACACCAAGCATGCAAGTGCCCAAGACCCAGGCTGGCTTGGGGTGGACTTCGGTGTTGGGATCCCAGCAGGGGTGCTGTATCTCTCTCACTCATGGACTGAGTAAATAAAATACCAAACAAACAAACCAAAAAAAAATTAGCCATAAAGCCATTTTCAAAACAAAACATAAAACACATCAGCTCCCTTATAAACAGAACGAAAAAATAACAAGATCCTGGCATTTGACAGAAAGTGGTTGAATATGGAGGATCTACTGCTGAATGAAGCAAGCCAGGATATGAAAGATATTGCATATATCCACTTTATACAGACTATCCACACTTTATGGTAGACATAGAAATACTGGAGCGTATAAAAGCAGTGAAAATAGTTACAGATGCTGACAGTGTGGAAATGTAGTAGTTAAGACAGTGTGGAATGGGGCGGGGAAAGGGAAGAGTATAGAGAAGGATAGCAAGAGAACAAATAGAGAGGCATGACATTAGTGGGACACAAAACTGGTTTATTACTTGTTGATGATAAAATGTATAGTATTCTCAACTGGACTGGTCTGAGAAGTATTTCTTGTTGGATAAATTCTTTTTACAAGTCAAATGATAGTGATTGAATGTTTAAAAAATAATGAGAATAATAATAATAATAATCTGGAAAAAAAAAAGACGAAAAGCTATTTGATGAGGATGTGGATGTCTTTGTCTTGACTGATATGCATGGTGTTCCTGCTGGAAAAAAAAATGTAATACACTGTAAAGATATATGTAATTCAATGCAATATAAAAAAGATTATGATAATAGTAAATAAAATTTTTTAAAAGACAGAATGAAAAATGTCAATCTCAGCAAACCTCATGCTGAGTGGAAAGGCATGATATATTCATTTTCTATCATTAGTGAACAAGCAAATTAATTCAGTGGGTTGCGGTAACTGATAATCTCATCCTTCTTTTATAACTCTTGTAAATGAAACATGAGTTCAAAAAGAGTACAAACAACACGAAAGACTCATTAAGCAGGTTTTGAGGTTTATTAAAATAAAGTATTAGCAAACAATATGCAAAAACAAAGTTCTTAAGAGTTATGGCTTTGAAAAGCACAATACAGTATAGTAAAACCTAATACTTCTTTTTTTCATAAGTATCAAAAAGATAACAGGATTGAAGCATGTTGCTAGAATTTAATTTGCTATGATGTAAACAGAAGCAGAACAAGTACAAATACGAAGCAGACCTATAGTGCAGCCATTGGTTTGGTCTTTATCACCTGCATATAAAGTATCTTTTAGAGAATGTGGGCAGGTGTATACAAATAGTTTTCATGATTATAATCCTGTCCAATTTTAAAATAAGTGAAACTGAAAATCCAATGTTAGCTAACCTGGTCAAAAAGAAAATCACTTGCCCAACCATTATCTTCAAAGAGTCGCATAGTTAAAATGCTTTATGATAAATCAAAGCAACATCAACTCCAGGGATATCAGAAGGGAAAATATGACCCTAAAAAAATTTTCTCCTTTTACAAAGAACTCCTGGATTCTTCGCCCCCACTAGAGTTTTGTTATAGCTAACATTAGCTAGTATTAAGAAGGCACTACCTATTGATGGAGGGAACGTCTACCTTTACATGAAATTCTGAACTTTAAAAAAAATTACATGTTCGAATAAATCTCTATACAATAATGATTTTAAGAATTTTAAGAACTGAGTTATTTGGGTAAGAACTACATAAACCTTTTACACTCTGTCATGCATGACGAAGAATCCTGCTCCAGGTCTGGATCTTTTCAATAAAATAACTCATCACTTGTTTTATAGCAATTGTTACCAGCAAATATTATATAGCATGTGCTTACTTTAAAAAATAAAGTCAATGTGTGAAATCCCTTTAGTTTGTATGGATAAATATGGAGTTTTAAGGTGTCACTTTAATTATAATACAGCTGTATTTTAGGAGATACATTTCTATTATGAACAATTCAATATAACAAAGGCTTAATTAATACTGTTACCTCCTGGAGTGAGGACACTGCAAACTATACTCTGCTGAATTCCAAAGAACTGTCCAGCTTCTGTCCAGCAAGTAGAATTCTTTGTTTATGGAGAAGTGCCTTGAATTCTCACTTTCTACACATACATCTTTTGTGATAAAAACTCCCAAGAATCTCATCCGTTATGAATGAGGAAAATTCTGCTGCTCTGGGAGAAAGAGATCAAACCTGAGGTTACGCCCTCACAAAAGATGTTCAAGTTAATATCTGAGACCATCTATCCTTGGGAAAACTCCCTTCCGCAATTATCACAAACCCTTCTAAAACCACAAGGCTCTCTTCTATCTTAAAAGATATTTGCTTACCTAGCTGATGGGCATAGCAAGGACACACATTTATACTGATACCCAGAGAACTAAAGACAAAGAGTTCTGACCCTCTTAAAAGTGAACAGGCCAAGGGACCAGCAGGTGGCATGGTGGTTAAGGCACTGGACATTCCCACATGGCTGACCACAGTTTGATTCCTGGATCTGACGGCCTGCTTTCTCACTTTCTCTCTTTCTCTGTGTGTGTGTGTGTCTCTTTCTCCGGTCAAATTAAAACAAAATAAATGAATAAATAAAATTAATAAAAAAAGTTAACAGGTCAATAATGTAAGACATCACTACCGTTGAATTAAATAATTATTAAAATAATCTCCCTCAGGAAATAAAAGAGAATACAAATACACTTGTAGTGAAGAAAGATGATGAAGAGCCAAAGTACTATTAACAAATGACTAGGAAAAGTATAAAGATACGGATCTAAACTGGCATATTAGATGCTCTTGATAGCAGAAGTGCAGAGCTTCAATAGGTATTATCAGGGTCAGCAGATGGCATAGTGTCTACATTGCTGGACTCCCACATGGCTCTCTGCAGTCTGAGTCCCAGATCCAGCGGTTTGAAATTCACTGTGCACATGTGTATTTGAGCCCGAGACCCCAGGAGGAGGATGGAGGGGAAGGAACCGCGGCGTGGCCATCCCTCCTGGGAAGTGACTTCTCATTCTCCCTTTCACTGGTCTCTCTCTCCAGAAATCACGTGTCCTACAGTAAAAATCTCTTTTAAAAAAGTATTATTAAACCATTTAAGAGTTTCTCTGCTATTAGTAGGATTTTATATTTTTCTATCAACTTTCTTCTTCAACAGAACACTTCCAGGTGAAGGGACTGTTTCCCCCAAATGCCCTTAGTTAATACAGACAGGTTTTTTAACGATGGGAACACCAGTTCTTATCTTGAAAACAGATTTCAGATCTGAACACTAATCATTTTATATTCCTAAAAGATATCTTACTCTCAAATGTTTTGAAAAGTATAAAATAGCTGCATTATCTTTTTGTACTATTACATGTGGCTTGTTGAACTACTTCTCTAACTATGGATTTGACCTGGGAAACCCAGCCAATTTTATTAAGTTTTCTTACATAACAACAATAAAATGTGGAAAACAACTAATATTTGACATTTCCTCTCTTTCTTTTTTTTTCTAAACTGCCAGAGGGTGCATGCACGAGATAAAGTGAGTGCACATACATACGCAAGCACCCTCCAATGAGGCATGATCATGTCACAATCCTTTTTCTTCCATTTCTCCATCCCATCAGGATTTGAAGCATGCACACACATGTGCCTGGAGTTTTTCAGGCCACTCGGGCCATAATTCAAACTACAGTTGGCTGTGTGGGATCTGGCTTTCTGTGCATAGCACTTAACCACTGTACTAGCCGTATGTGAGAACATTTGACTAATGTCTTCTTTAAATTTTCTCAAAAGAGAAGTGTTAGTTTCAGTAGATCAATAACATGCCTAGTAACTTACATTCCACGAGTTTAGCCATAATATAATACCGTTTTGTTTAGAGATGGTGTTCAAGTGCACCTCTTACAATCTTTTTCCCAATCAATATCTTTTTGTTGTTTTAATTCATTACTGAAATTTTTATCCTATTTTGTTTTTGCACTGACCAAACTGGCTACAATTTTATTACTGCCAGATTCTGTCTTTTTCAGATGGCATATATTATGTTATACATGCTATGTAGTGTGATTATTCTAGTAATACTGTTATTTTCATAAATTTGACTACAAGCCACACTATAAATAAAAACTTAAAATTGTAATTTTGTGGGACCAGCAATGGCTATGTCGCTGGACTCCCATGTAGTCGATCATGGTTTGAGTCCTGGACCCAGCGGCTTAAACTCACACCGGGCGCGTGTGTATGCATGCCCAAGATCCTGAGAGAAGAATGGAGAAGAAGGGATTGTGGCGTGGCCATTCCCCCTGGGTGGTGATTTCTTGCTTTCTGTCTCTCTGTCTCTCTCTTTCTGGGGAGCACACACACTCCATAGCAAAAAAAAAAAAAAACCACACAAAACCTCTCAAAAAAAAAAAAAGAAAAAAAAAGAAAAAAAAATGTAATTTTGTGAAATGGTTTTTTTCAGAAACACGTTCTTTTCACTAAATAAAACTTAGGGTTTTCTTTTTTCCTTTAATCTTATTAGTAATTTTTATTTCCTATCCATAGATATATGGCCATTCTTAAGCAATATAAGAGCAGCTGAACTGAATAAAGTTTTCACTAAAAGTCTAGGGATGTGGAGTTGACAACTTTAGGTAAGATAACAGGTGTATACTTCTCCATGCAACTCTTCTAACAGTTAAAAGCTTCAGAATAGTCATTCAAAAGACACAAGTCCTCAGATAAAACAAATGGAAGGCCAACCACATAAAATCTTGTTAAGCTAATGGCTATGACATCATGACCACAAGTAAAAACAATTTTCAAGTAATTTTCAGTTGAAAACACCAATAAACAATTCAATAGTTTCCACTAGTTTAATACTGCCCACTGAAATTGATTATACATATCAGTCATTCGACTTGAATGATTTATTTTCCCCTCCCTAAGATTGTCCCATAAAGTTGTTAAGGAGAAGAATGATGAAAATACCTAAATTCTACCACCAAGAAAATAATTCTCTTTCATGTAGGTGCACAACTCAGGAGATTGAGAATCCACATGTAACACTTAAGCATAAAATTCAGGTGACTGTCCAGAAACTATCCGTTTTACCTAGCAAAGGACTGTGAGCTCAAACACAAATGGCACTTTATCCAAAGGAACTTAAACCACCCATTGGCTGCACTTTGAAAAAGCAATAAATAATGACACAGACAACAAAAGGAACGGCATAATCCTTTCCTCAAAAAAATGCACTTTTTTTTTTCCTCATAAAAGCAGAAAGGGCAAAGAAGAAAGTAAAACCAAACTAACGTTTTAAACAGGAGAATAACACAGCTCATATACTTTGAAAAGGCACTAGAAAATAAAGCTTCTGATAGGAAAATTAATTTTTTTCCTTCAAAATAATCTCATCATTCTCCTGCTATAACTAAGTGTTCATTTGACTGTTCCCTAGAAATACTAATTAAGAGTCCTTTAACAAAAGCCAAAGGTATAACTGATTAATCTGATATTTTATTAGAGTTTTTCATTTCTTCCCTCTCTGAAGATTCTGGGGGACTACCACACACACAGATACTTTAAAAATGGTTAAAAAGCATTGATGGTAAATGAGAGAACAGTCTATATTCTTTGATATGTGAATTTTTTAAAATGAGCTACTCAAACATCTACTGCTGATTTATTTATGTATCAGACTAGTAACCTCCTCCTTGGGGCCCAACTGAAGAACCTACTATGGCTAGAGTGCATAAAGCCTTGCAAAAGGAGACTGATCGAAGGCAAGAATATTAAGTATATGATTTTCCAAAATTAACAACACCCATAACTGTAGAGAATTAAAAAGGCACCTTAAGTTGGACCTATGGAATAGCAGTCTTATAATCTAGGCTGAAAATAAAACAAAAATAGAAAAAGCATAATTTCCTCCAACTGTAGTCTACAAACTACAGTATTTTGTTAATACAAAAGGGGTACCAAGGAAGTAAGATAAACATCTAAGTCCAAGTCACTTGAGTGTATTTTATCAAAAGTTAAGCTAAAAACTGTCACCCATAAAAGTGCAAATAAAAGATTAATGCATGTCAAAATTAGAGTTTTTTGCAACATTGGCCAAAAGCAGCGAACATAGCTGAACGAGGCCGTGCATGCACTGTCACTAGTTATAAAGTAGTACTTGACAGATTTTGAGTAAATGGCATATACTGAAGATCAGTTATTTGCAGTAAATTTTTAAAAAGGAAATGTTTTACAAAAGATAAGTAGCATGAACTCACATTACACTTAGAAACATTTAGCTATATTAATGTACATTTCATGATGTCATCTAGAAAACTATCACTTTCCTCTACTGAATGAACACTACCTGTTAGAGCAGTGCATAGTGTTCCTTCAAATGAAGTTTTTTTTTTTTAATTTATAGTTTCTTTTAAGCCCCTACCATATGCTTTTGCAAAACAATGACTTAGTATTACTTTTTTTTATGTAGGTAGGACAAAGAAACTGGTAAGAGAACAACTTCTGGAAATTCAAGATTAAGGGGGAAGACTTACTTCTCACTGTATATACCCTCCTATAATTTATCATGTGATATATTTCTTTCTCAAAACAACAAATAAGTTGTTGAGACAATAAAGCAAAAGCATGTTCCAGTTTAAGATCAATGCCAAACTTATGAAATGGGGCTTAATACTTACTCTGCATATTTCACAACACTTTTGAGAATTAATCATATGAACATGAATACAAACAAATGTAGATTCATCCCAGAATACAAACATATTGGTCACAATTATGTAGAAAAAAATAGGCTGTAATATCTGTTTTCCATGTAAGCTCACAGTATCCGTACTGAAGTTCTCTAAAATTAAAACAAGTCCACTAGTAATATAACTGAAAAGAATACTTCTGCACTATGAGACAGAAGATATGGGGTTCAGAGGGGAGCCCATCTGAGTAAGGACTTTATCCAGCCATTGAAGAGGCCCATGAAGATGAATCTCGATCCAACACGGGGTGCTGGTAACATCCTGCCGGTGATACTCTGCTCCCCAGCCCTAAGAAAATGAACAGGTATCATAGCAGATTCCTCTTAAACTACCAAAATGGTCTAAACCAATTTTACTGTAACAACAAAAAGTTTAAGAGTAGATATATAGAATGTACTTAAAAGAGTAACTATCACAAAACCAATCTTAACAATCACCATGGAATTAAAAGCAAGACAATTACAGCATTATTCAAAGATGTATGGATTTTTAAAGAACATATAATTCTCTTAATAGAAACCCTTGGGGCCAAATGTTTCAAAATTGTATATTTAATTTTACAAAGGTAGAATCTATTACATCTCATAATTAAAATATTGATATTTCTGTAGTGAGATACATGCTTACTTAACTGAATAAATAAAATCCATAAATACCTTCAATTAAGTTTATGTCAAATCTTATTACTAAAAAAGTTCGTTTTTCAGGAGTTTTTGATATTAGCTAAGACATGATAGATATTAACAATGCACGCATGTGTTATTTAATGTGGCAATCACATAGCGACATAGTAAAGATTCCTTTAAGATAGGAATTCACTTTAAATTAATTAGGAAGTATTAAATTAAAAAGGAAATGTTTTACAAAAGATACATACCATGAGTTCACATTACAGTGACAAACATTTAGTTGGATAAATTTAACCAAAATACTTCGGCCTAAAACTCCCAATAAAAATTAAAACAAAATTTTTATTTTATATTCCTGTATTTATCAAGTTCTCCATTTTACTGCTTATGGTAGTCATACCCAGACAACTAGAGGTGGTGCAGAAAGGAGAAGAGTGGAGAAGATGGGGGAATAGAGATTAAAATAAATATGTGAAAGTCATGTATCTACAGAGGAAGGGGGAAATACAAGTGACTGATTAACCAATGCACACAACAGACCTACAGCAAAGCAGCAAGGAAACACAGGCATATGTGGCTGAATGCTAAAAAGAAGAAACCCACACAGCCTTTGACAGTTGTTCTTCTTGGGCTCCATTCTTAAGAACCATGTGGATATAGTGCTAGTTGCTTAAATATATCATAAAGCTCTTTTCAAATTATGTTTATGAAATTCTTTGGAATGTAATATCAGGCCAACAGAATAAATGATAAATTTAAAGTTCTTTGAACTGCAAATTCTAAATAAAGCTTAGGTGTAAGTAAAATAACTTTAATCAACGAAAGAATTCTAAGTCATCCTAATGAACTCTAAAAAAATAAACTGCTGGGATCAGCAGTTGGCGTAATGGCTATGTCGCTGAATTCCCATGTAGTTGACCGTGGTTCGAGTCTCAGGTCTGGTGGCTTAAACTCACGCCGGGCGTGTGTGTGTGCATGCCCAAGATCCCGAGAGGAGAATGGAGGAGAAGGGATTGCGGCATGGCCATCCCCTCTGGGGGTTGATTTCTCGCTTTCTGTCTCTCTGTCTCTCTCTGTATTTCTGACGAGTGCACGTGCACTATAGCAAAAAGCTCTAAAAAAAATAAATAAAAAAAAAACTGCTAAAGCTAAAAAAACTCAAAAAAATAATTTAAAAGCAATTGTGATATTTGCTTTTTTATTGTGTGTTAAAAACAAATGAACATTTATCTGTTTATTTGTTGTGATTCTTCAAGCCATCGGATCTGGACTCAAACTCTGGTTGCCCACATGGGAATCCAGCACCTTAACCACGGTGCCACCTGTTGGCCCTTGTTAATGAGTTTTAAGGGTTCTCCTCTATTCTAGATACAAATCCTTTATCAGATATATGTTTTGCTAATATCTATTCCCAGTCTGTGGTTTGTCTTTTCTCTATTTAGTTTGATTTTTTTTTTTTTTTTTTTTCTATAGGGTAAAT